GTGGAAGGCGAGGACAACGTAAAGATTAAGGTCAGGATAACTAGAAGTTTACTTGATTACTCACCTACTTATTTATCTACTTACCCATTAGCTTATTTTTTACTTACTTACATGATTTAGTATCTTAATAATGGCATAAAATAGAAAATCTCACAAATGTAGGAACGAATCTATGAGACGCTTCGGAAGGAACCACTCTTCTCTCGCAACTACGATCGGCCATCGCTCGTACAACTTAGGGAATTGAACCATAGACGTTGGAAAAGGATTATCGAGATGGATCTGCCGCTTGACGTAAGGATAAGAACATTGTACTTCGACTTGCCTTCAAACAAGCTTCCTACGTTGTCTGAGTATGTGGAGAAATGGGTAGAGACCCATATCTGTTGTACATTCTTCGTTGGTGCGCGGCTTATACCCAAAAAGGTGAAGAGGAGGTGCACGCCAACGAGTGAGTTACCATGGTTAGGAGTCTCCGCCCATCCCAGCACCACAAAATATTTTTCTTAACTCGTTCGAGTACTACGAATCTTTCCCGTTCAAGATCGTAGATATTAAAGGAAGCACGATAACCATGAAAACCAAAACCGTGGAAAATGTAATCAATTCCAGCAATATAGCGATCCTCAAGCTTATCGATGCCTTATGGAAGTGCTCGAGACATACGATCAAGGCCTTAGCAGCCCGTGTGGCGCTGCACACATCGGTTTGCCATTAAGAATTTCGACGCAGCTGGTCTGGAGGGGGGAGGGGGAGCGGGGGTTGCACTTTTGCTACTTCCCATCGTCGTGGTCACAGTTTTACAAGAGGTGACAGGTATTCCTTACAAGCTTGACGAGTGGTCTCTACGGAACTTTAACTGATATCACTCGTGGTTTCACAAGCAGACCATGTCATACCTTGGGGTTCCTCAGCGAGGGAGAGAGGAGGGGGGATCGTATCTTTGGGCGAAATTCGCGGTGTCAGGAGAAATTTTTTCCCGGTTGACTTTTCGCGCTTTTTCCAGTCTGTCATGTAATATATACCCCCTCCCCCTGCTAGAGAGAGCGATGTTCAGAATATTTTTAGGGAAATTTCGGTTCTGGGAAAACTGGAAAAAGTACTAGGAATGGAAAATCTGATGAAATATAGCCACGTGGTAGTGGATGGGGAAGGGGGATCGTATCAGAGGTATCACAGGAGTGAACTAAGGAGGGGAGTCGTATTTTTGGAAAATTTCCCCAGCGATAGGACGTGCCCTGTTCACAAGACTTCACAGAGCTATACTTGATGGCCCGACACGTCGATGGGAAGCAATAAAAGTGCAACTGCCCACACCTCCCTCCCCCAAGCCGAGCTGCGCCTAAATTTCTCAGTTTGCATAACAGGATTCCACAGTTTCTTTCAGGTGTTTGGCATGGCAATAGCGTCAATGTGCACAAAACGACATGAAGAGATCTTGGAGAAAACCAGAAGGAACGAGGTTACACTACTGTTAAACATTTGTCCTGTACAAGGTTAGAAACGCAGTGGAACGCCTACGTTGGTTAGGTGATGTCTCGTCTCCTGCGCTCTAACTTTTAACAGTTTTCGGCTTGAATCGCTGTCATTTCCAGATAGTTGGCTGCTTCTGTCTAACAGAGATCGGCCATGGATCCAATATACGGAAATCCAAACAACGGCAACCTTTGACAACGGCGAATTTGTGATTAATTGCCCATCTGAACAGGCTATCAAGTGCTGGGCCGGGAACTTATGTAAGCGTTTTCACCGGTCCTGCAGAGGGACCCCGTTGACATATGTGGCGCAACCTTGAATAATACATTTGCAGCACATTCCGCGACCCATGCGGTCGTTTTCGCTCAGTTATACGTCCAGGGCAAATGTGAAGGAGTTCATGCGTTTGTGCTGCAAGTCAGGTACAGCGATTTTTTAGCTTTCAACTAATCAGCATGAAGGGCCTTAAGTAAATGTATAGCGCTCCAAGCTCTCGAAGTCTAGGCGCACCTCAAGGCTCTGTTTATGGCATCAGTCCACGCTAATCCTAGGAGCAGAGACACGTAATCTCTGTGCTTTGCTCATTTTATTTTATGCTGTCTTTATAAACCGAAGAGGCGAAGAAGGAAGCATTGTGGTTGGATCATTTCTGCGTGCCATATACTCCACTGCCTACACCTCAAAAATTCATTCCCATACTGCTAGAGGCAGAATGCGCCAAAGAGATAGGAGCGTTGTTCAAGTGCTTGTCGCTCTTTTGTCGTGAGATCTCTGAAGGCACGGTCTGCAATAAGGACGCGTGCCTTCCAAAGAGATGGTGCATATGAAGAAAACTTGTGTTGTTGACATAGTGGAAGAAAACTTGCGAAGACACAACTGTGAAGAGAAATGGTCCTATATAGTAGCGATCGGGCTCCTCCTTCAATATAACCGCCCTACTAGCCTCCGAATAACTATAGCGAACAAGGGCAAAAGACCACGTTTCGGGAAGGGCCCGCTCGGCCTGTTCTTTGCAATAAATTAATTCTATTACCTCATAAGAGACAATGGGCATCCATTTCATTCTAGTTGCCCGGCAGCATCGCTTCTGCGTGAAAGGGCCTCTGAAGGGCGGAGTGTGGGGGGATCCAACTGGAAAAAAAGGAAAGTCAACTGGAGGGCAGCTTCGGCGCCCTGACCCTCTTTCTTACCGTATTCGCCGCCGCGAAACTGGACACAAGGTTGCCCCTTGTGGACCACACTACACTTCCCGCACAATCTTTTGCATTTTCATAGGTCATCGCGGACCCCTCAAGTGAAAATCAGTCAATGGGAAGCACTCACAAATTTCACCGATTTCAGTAACATCACTTATAGTCTTGTTCGCTGCTGCTATGACGATCTGAAGCGTGTCCGCTGTAAGCTGTTTCGGCGCAGCGAGTCACCAAGATTTGCCACCACTGCTTAAGATGGTAAGCGGAGGCAAGAATCGAGCCAAATCGGTTTATCGCGTTGCCAATGCCAGCAGTCCATTTAGCACGCCCACTATCTAACGAACAAAGGCTATATGTCGAATTTTATAAGTACTGCGTAAATTCGAGCTTTTGTTCATCTACCCCACCACCCGAGAAAAATTGTTTCTGATTTTTTGGCCCTCTTGGCAGCCAAGATTTCTTACCTCGCCTATTTGTATTGCAATAATTCTCTTAGTTTCTCCTACCACTAGAGAGATGTGGTACGTAAGGTTAAATGAGCTGAACAAACAGGCTCAAATATATTATATTCTTTGAGGAACCCGAAGACTTTTGAGCCACTTCCTGGTATTGTCATTGGTGATATGGGCGAGAAACCTGGCGCATGGAATGGGGTCGAGAATGGTTGGATGGAATTCAAGGTCAGATTTTGTTATAAAATTTGGCTTAAATGCAGTCTGTACAGTCATTGCCACTGAAGTCAGTCAAGGCGTGGCAGCTTTGGGATTTCAATGAGTGACCAGATGAGGCTGACGCCTAGCCAGAACCCTTTTTCGATTGACTTCAATGATAAGGACTGTGGGTGCAGTTCGGCTACGGGGGGAGGGATGTTGCACTTACGTTGCTCACGTTCGCGGTTACTCAATATCCTCCTGGTGAAGAAGGCATTTTGCACTTTCGTTGCTTCACGTTCCGGTTTACAAGTCTCACTCTGGTGAAACCTGTGAACTCTTGTGAAGCTGGAGCGAAGCTCGTCAAGCCATAACCTGTCAACTCGAGAAGAGGCTGTCTAGATGGGTCGACACGTCGATGGGGAAGTGGGCGAAAGTGCAAAATGCCCCTCCCCCGTCGCCGAACACCGCCCGACCGCGTACTGTGTCAAGATTAGATTTACCTGGTCTTGTTTTTTTCATGGATTTCTCTTCTGTTGGACTTTAGAAGATTTCAGAACCATCGCGCTCCATTGTGGACACTACTGAACAAAGGTTGTGACGTGACAGCCGACGGAAAATATGTTTCCAACTACAAATCGTCAGCCGAAAGGCAGTCCGTCAGTTTAGGAGCGTTATCGATCGGGAGGTACGTTGCGCTCACAGTTTCGCCGCGCACTATTCGCTCATTTACGAATCTGCTCCGCGACAGCGCGCGTCCCTAGGTGTCATCACTCTACTTGCTAACCATAAGCAATTTGAAAAAAAACAATTGACTAATCATGACGTGTCATATCAAATAAATAGGCTTTTCCGCTGAGATTTACGTTTTTTTTGATGATTTTCAGGATTGGTATTATCGGTAAAGGAGTCATAGCAAGTGGACTAGCTTCAACGATTGCCATTCGTTACAGTGCTTGTCGACGGCAGTTTGGCAAGAACAAAGGAGGTACGACACAATTTGAAGGCAGGCTGTGTGTGCGGGATTTGCGGGGCGAGCAGCATGGAGGCATCTCATTGCGGCGTGTCTTCTTACCTGTCGTTTACGAGGCTGTCACGGAAGTCCCGTTCACGTTCTTTACGAAAAATCGCTTGTAGGAATCTTTCACATACACCCCATATCCGAGAGGTGCGGAGTCCGTGGCCGCGTACTTCAGTCGAACGTAGCGGCAGCTTCGCTTTCGGAAGGATACTGCAGTTGCAAAACAGCTGCAAACATGACTTTGTACAAGAATAGGCTAACACCTGTATCAAATGGAAATATCCCATGAAGAACGCATCCTACGAGTGTTCACGTATAGTACGCAGCCACGCCCACTCCATCGCTGGGATAAGGAGTGTACGTTCGGTGAGCATGAGCAGTTCCAGATTAGTGAGAGATCTTGCGCCTGTCGCCTTCTTCATTGTAAGTGTTGTAGTTGTTTATTACACAAAACCCCTTCCGTGGCAATGCCTGCTCGAATGAAACATACCTCTAGATCAACTAATGCCGAACAATGGACTCCGATTCTGTTTTACGATTGTCGTCCAAATTACTGATGGTGTCCATGGGCAAGGAAGGCAGGCTCGCAGTTGTAGAGGGTACCAGCTTGACCATTTGGAGATGCGTGGCAGTGAAGCGTTGAGGTTGCGACAACTTGGTGTTCATACTCCGCCTGCAAGCGAAATGCGCCGTAGGACGCAACACGCCGTAGGACGCACACGCTGTACGACCAGCCATACATCTAGCCACAGTAAGACGCACTATGTCTCCGCCCTCCTACGTTCTAGCGCTCCACTGCTCCTCTTCATGTCTTTGGCTGTCTTGAGCAGCGTGCGAACATGTTTGTTGCGGTATCTTGATGGCCGCACCGAACATGTCGGCAACTTACCTTCGACATCGCATCAAGTAGCCATATTCACGGCGGGGTATACGAGGACATCCGGCCATCATAATCCTCCAACTTGATCGCCACTTGGTTCCGGTGGGCTCGTAGGTACCTTCTATAATTCACATTTATCCAACTCACCCATGGAAAACACCGTCCCCACACGTAAGCGTGTCCTTAAGCCAAGTATTAGCGCGGAACACCACCACATAGTGTGAAAAACAACGTTACTGTGGTGCCCAACGCTGCGAT